CCTACATTTCCCAAATAAGCCTTTAAGTCACTAATGATGACTAAAAGCACACCTAGAATTCAAGCTAAAATGTTAAAACTGTGACAAAACAATTTCCCTGTGAGGATTATTAAAGTTCCCCTGATACCTGATGCTTATCTGTGTTATGATATTTTGAGGTTTTTCGCTTTTCCATCACCTCAGGACAACAGCGTCTTTCAAGATTGTGCAATAGGCTTAAAAACCCAGTAATCATCTGGTGTTTTTCTCTGTAACTCCCGGCTTCATCGCGAAGCTCATCACACAAACAGACGGAAAGCAGTAAAGACTGGTCTGCCCACATTAGGGCAGCAGAGCAAGCTGCAAATGCGACACTCGCGCATTATCCTCCTATAAACAGTCGTCTATTTATATGCCATTCCTCCTGAGGTAAACATCTGGCTCCTTAGCTGCTAAATATACCACTGTTTCCCCGCGCTAACGGGAAAAGTTTGTCTCAAACATTTGCCTCCCGCAGCCAAAAGCGTCACTGATGAGAGCTGCGAGACAGAAGATATTAAAAGATGTTAAATCAGTGCTCCGTTAAAGCTGCCGAAACACTTCAGAGGAGAGGAGAAATTCAGGGTAGGCTTATAATTTGTCTACTGATACTCCTTCCTGTTACACGCTGTCATCTGATGCACTTTCATTTGCAAGTATTGATAAGTGCAGTTAGTTTTACTACCTTAATAGTTCAGAAAGACAAAACGGAAAAATCCCCTTTAGCCGAAGAGAAGAGCGAAAGTGAAAGCTAATTTTTTTTCCCTTTGTTGGTCTTCTAACCACAATGGTGACATTTACCAGCAGTTTACTCACCTGCAGGGGGGTGAGGGAGGTTGTGAAAGTGTTAGCTGCAAACAACTGTCCCTTTTGACGAGGGTAACGGTGCATAATTTACACAATCCACACTGATTATTTGTTCACTCGTCACTTAGACCGTTAACTCCGATCAAATGTCCAATAGAGAAAAAGATAAGATAAAAAAACCAGGTCACATTTACATAACTTTCCCTGAAGACATAAACTCTCTCACACACACACACGGTGCCCATTCTCAGTTATAAACACTCGATTAACAGCTACGTTCAAGAACTTCACACTTTTTTTTTACTGTTTTCGGTTGACGCCTCGTCTCCAGTGAGCAGCAGTCTGAAACTGCCTTTATCTCTCAGGTGTGCGTTTGCATGTGTGTGTGCGTGGGTGTGCGCTGCTTTCTCCCCTCTCTCCAGCCCTGCTTGTTTGTGGTGAATAACAATTTGATCTCGTCTGATGTAAAGAAGAGGCTGAGTCACTGCTGCCGTCAGACAGTGGACTGTCCCTGTAAATATGTAGGTCAGCAGCAGTCGACCTCTCCTTTAGTGATACTGGTAATACACACACACACACACACACACACACACTTTGGTTTTGGTTTATTTTTTACCAGAAAACTGGACTAAATTACGTCTGTCCCAACCTCCGTTAGCTCCTGCTGTTCTTTTTTCCACCAGATACTAACAGGTCTGTGCAGGCTGATGTTTTCTACAGGAGACATCGGCCTCCCCTTTACTTTCAGAGACACAGTTTGAACAGGTTAAGCTAACAGGAGAGGCATGTTTCAAACAGACCCAGAGGGAGCCCGGAGACTCATTAAAGAGCTCTGCTTAAAAAGACATTTGCAATATCGATCAAAAAAATGCCCGTTGAGGTTCATTTACATCCCCATAGAGAGTAAAAACCATCCCACTCATGGATTCAGGCTCAGAGTTGAGCAAACAAGGTGCTTTGAAAACCTGAAGTGGTGAAGATGTGACAGCAGAGCTGTGACACAATATAATTATAAAGCAATTAATTCCCCACAAAGCAGCGGTGTTTCATTTGGCTGATAAAACTTTCTTTGAATATTTATTATAACCAGAGGGTGATTCATACACGTTTTCTGCTTTCTTAGCTTTTATAAAGTTGCCCAACTTTGAGTTAAAATGTGTTATTCTGCATTTATGGTCCTCACAGGTTTTTATCTCATATTCTAATAACTTCCTGTCTGGGCAAAAGTAAAATCGTGCTGAGCTGAAAGGCACAATGTGTGGCTGCCAGCAATCGTGGATCTGCTTCCTGCACCAGCACAGACGAACTATAGATTTACTAAAGTAAATAACATCAGTGTGTAATGGTCATGAGGTCATTCCTGACTGTAAAAGTAAAGCAAACAGAGCGTAATGAGAAGAGAAAGGGTGAAAATGAGTTAATCATCCTTTTAAAAGCCACAAAGATTGATTTTAAAGATAAATGTTATCCCAGCTTTGTAATACATATAATTACATTACATATAAATGTAAGAAACAGCCAG